TTAGGAAGTTTCAGCTGAATCCAAGTTTGAGCGATTTTCGTCGTAGTAGCACTTTAAAGTTTTTGATTAGAGTGCATACAATGTAAGCTTATCTGTTAAAAAGTTAACTAACAAAATTGTACAAATTACTGCAAAGTTTTGTAGGTCTACGGTATGCTGATGTCTACTGAAATTGCTAATTTTTGCAGTTTTGTGCAATTTCTTACRATGTTTTTAATGGATATATGGTATGCACTCTATATAATATTTAACAAGTTTGCATAACTCTTTTACACTTATAGGTACTTTTATTCTAGTTTACATATTAATATATATTAATAGTGGCTCCAATTTAACTAAGATTACAGGAGCCCTGATGATCGTTTAAGCCATCTTCATTTGAAACTAGAGCACTGAAACTTGATTGTACTATCATATATCTCTGCAGTTTGTTTTTATGTGCATGTCAAAGACCAGTATCAGTGTTATTCCATCGTATCTTCTTCATTACTGATCTCTATGTCTTTTACACCATTTATCATATTCTCATTCATATGATTCTGTCCATGATCAGCTGTGTCATCAGATGTGTCGATCCTTTCAACGCGAGGGACATCACTAGCTGTATTCATTCTTTCAAGAAAAGCATTCAAAAGTTTTTTGTTTAGATGATCCGTTTGTGTGATTTCTCGGCTCGCGTTATCTTCTATTTCATTGCTTGATATTTCCGTCGATTGTGTAGTATCGCTTATTTGATTATGTGGCTTCTGATCATCGTTATTTTGCTTATTTTCCATAACTTTTTACTATTTTTCTAACAGTTTTCCAACTATCTTTTACTTTTTCCTTCGGCTCAGAATGTACAGCGGTTTTCTTTCGTTTTCAGTCCCACACGGCAAGAACAACGCGAATTCTTCCAAAGGGACTGGTACAGAAAAATTTTATTCAATGAAAGGGAATGAGAGAGAAACGGAGGAGAGAAAAAGGGCAGGGAGATGGTACTAGTAAAGGATTTAGGAAGAGAGAAATGTGAATGACCATTCCAAAGCTAATTCTTGCAGGATTTGTTTTATGGAGTATATAACATAAGTGACTACATTAAAGATCAAAAATTATAAATTAAAAATTACACTCCATTTTGCATATGATGAACAATGGCTATTAGTTTAAAATTGTTGCTAAAAACAATACAATATTATCTTTTTAAAATATTGGTGGGAGGGGCATGCTATCGCTTTTATTATAGTAGGCTAATATCAAAATTCAATATGCCTAATCCCAAGAAAATATGAACTATGAGAAGGAATCCCCGTGCCCCATCATGTGCACACTGAAAATATCATCCAATGATTATCATTTATTTGATCGTTTGATTTTCTGCACGCGCATAGTACGCGCGCGCTCTACGCTGTTTGCTAACGTTTTCTAGTGCATTTCTTCACAGGTAGCCCAAGTTTGGTTTCTGTGGTGTCCTGTTATAAGGAAATGTATGGAGATTCATCAAAAATTTCAATAAAATCATTGAAACATGAAATAAGGCCTCGAAATTTTACCCGATCATTGAGAAATAGCACTTCTTTGGCTCTGCGTGGTTATTTTTTGAATTTAGCCCGTTTTAAGATTTGCTCCCCCACCAGAAACCAAGCTTGGGCTACCTGTGATTTCTTATGTTCAAATGTTCAAATCTGCCCTCAAGATGACGATGTAGGTCGAAGACTTTGGAAAATGAATGTAAAAATACTCCAGAAAGTTGAACAAATTACCACTTCAATTTTCTGTCGTGTTTGCCAAGCTTTCGACGTGTACAGGGCAATAGGGGGAATACCTTGTCTTAGCTCATTTTCTGTTGCTAATAAGGCATACCACTGAAAGTGAATAGGTGTGCCGAGAGACTGAAATTTTATGGTGGATGTATTTATACCCTCCCCTCAACAACAACAAAACATGTACACTAAAATACACACTATCCAAGTCTCTCCCTCCATGAGTTCCGAGGTCCCTTCTTCATTCTAGCTATTTTTACGACCAAAAGACGTTGGAACAGCAAAATTAGCTAACGTATCAACAATTGCTGAAGGTAGAAACGCGATAAAAGCTAAAACACTTGCAGTTAGTCCAACTAGATAACGATCACGTGGTGCTTTTGACGTCACTGCAACTTCCAAGGCCTTCACTACCATGCCTATGTCATCGCTTGCGGTTGAAAAGGTATTACGTAAAGCTTTGAAAGCTAGAAAAATATCAAAATAGAAAATTTTAAAAAGATGTAAAAGGATAATAGAAATATGACTCAGGAATTCGTCGCCTCGGAGGGTTGGTCTAAATATAGCCTTGGCAATTTTATACACTTTCTTTCTTCAGTTATGTAGATAAGAAAGGGGACCTTGTCCCACCAAAAAATTATTATACAAAGGGGTTCCAAAGAAGCAGATTGAGACCTGATTACGAACGGCACAGGAGGTTCGCTCTGTTTAATATGTACACAGTCACTCACACGCCTCCCCCCTCTAGTGAAAAGGATATATATATATACACTCGATTGCAGAAACGTTGTAATATACATTTATACATATATCTAATTTATTCAGTATATTTAATGATATGCAAAACAGAAAACTCGCTTTATTTTATATTTGTTTCATTCAGTGAACGTCAAAATATTTTATTCTTGTGTTTTATATCCTACAGATTATAAATCAATTGATTTTGAGGGTTAAAAAAGTAAAATTGCAATATGCATCTCATTAGGTATTTGTATAAATGTATAAAT